GCAGCGTGTTGTGGGCGGGGGGGGGGGGGTCATCATAATCTGGCCACTCAGTGTATATGGACTCTGTTCTGCTGGTTGGAAAATTATCATTTTCCTTTCCTGGCAGCTCCTCATGTCAGCCTACTACTGTCCAGCTCCGCCCCCTCTGACCCCCTAGAACAACCTCGAACTAGCCTTATATGCGTTATGACCCTCCCCTAACATTCCCATACCTATTGTAGGGTTTGTCTGGCTGGCATTAGGAGTTGCCAGAAAAGTAAATTTAGGGAACATTTTTAAAGACAATTTTCCAGGTTCCCGGCCCTCTTCATGCCGCCTTACAATGGCATAACAAGATGGGGGGTGAGGAAAAAAACAGGAAAACCTTGATGAGCCCCATATTATACCAAAAGTCAACACTTTATGGCACCCACCCAAGGGGGCTAACCCTATCCACCCAAGGGGGCTGAACCTTGGCAGCGATGGGCAGCAGTACTCTTCCATTTGGCTATTAGCAGTGTCCAAAATGAAGGCAACGAGCGAACCCTGGGTGAGTGTCTGACCTCAGTTCCATGGGCTAGTAAGGGGTTGTCCTAGGGGGTCAGAGGGGGTGGAGCTGACCTGTAGTAGGGTGACGTAAGGAGGGCCAAGGGAGCCTTTTCTGTCAAAACCTTTTTTGCTTGATCAGATAACCTAAAAAAGACTGAAGAGCAGAGATGACTACGGAGGGCCCGAGGTGTCCTGACAGTGCAGAGTATATATCAGGAAGGGTGACCAAGTGTGGTGTATGCTCAGCCGTGTTGTCGCCCCAAGTGACGTGCGTTGAGTATGCGCTTACATCTCATCAGATCAGAGTACCCGCATTCTTACATTTATTGACCGTCATGTTCATAAGGTCCGGGGAATGTGACCTCCTGATACATTACAATGCTCTATACAACATTTTAGACACCTCAGCACCCAAACTCAAGCAGTGATATACACGGGAGAGGGAGGGGCGGGCAGCAAAAGACAGTTGGCCTCGGTGAGCAATGTCCTTACAGCTCTCATTGACACTGACCTTCTTTGTAGTGATGTCTATGGTTGACCTGGGTCATAAGGGGGGTGTTAGTGATCATGGGATGTGACCCGGGTGATAAAAAGGGGGGCATGTTAGTGATCAAGAGGGTTGACCCTGGTGATAGGAAGGGTGTTAATGATCAAGGGGGTTGACCCTGGTGATAAGAAAGGTGCTACTGATCAAGGGGGTTGGCCCAGGTGATAAGGGGGTGTTAGTGATAAAGGGGGTTTACCCGGGTGATAAGAAGAGTGCTATTGATCAAGGTGGTTGACCCTGGTGATAAGGGGGGTGTTAGTGATCTCTTTGGTTGACCTTAGAGATAGGGAAGGGTGTTATATGATCAATAGGATAGACCTGGGTGATAACGGG